TACAAATTTCAGTTGAAAAATCAGTGATTCAAAAAAGATACTAAAATTTAGTTTATTAACTAAAATTTTTGTTAACAAAATTTTTTTTGGAGATACAGAATAATCTGTGTTTATAGAAAATTTATAGAAGTAATCAAGAACTTTGTTTAAACATTTAGAACAAAATATATACAACGTTCAAGACAAAGAAAACTGTCTTGTGAAATTTTTCTGTCCTTATCCACGGGACACACCTCCACATCTGGATGTTGTTCGTTGTTGTTTTGTTTGGAAGGTCCTTGAATGTCCTGTCAAATTTCTCTTTAGTTTCGCCCTTATTCTGAATGGCATTCTCTTGATTGTTACTTAGTTTTTCAATATATGGTTTAATTAGTGGTCAAACCAAGTTCTTTAAAAAATATGTTCGTTTTTAGTTTTTTCAGTTGGTTAGGTATGTTGATAAATAACAAAACTATTTATTCTTGCGTTATTCTTAAGCAGTAAAAAATTGTTAGAGGCCATCGCTTGCTATTATGAAACACATTATATAACGCAGACATTTCGTCAACCATATCCACGCCACATTTTGTGTGATTATAAAGTCTGTAATCCCAGGTTTATTTGATTTGTGGCCCAATTCTGTATTAGGATGAAGTGAAGAAGTTACTAACACTATTTTTTTTATTCGGGACAAAAGACACCAAAGAAAATGTCTTTTTTTAATCGGACAATTGCTCTGTTTTTGGAATTCAAAAAGATGTCGGTATTTTCCTCTTATTTTTACGAATAATTCCAACAAATGTTAACCGATGTTCATTAAGCAAATTTCCATTAGCGGTATGCTGGTAAACCAGTTAGTTGTCGAGTATAATGTCGCGGTAGTACCACGGATTGGATTTACAAGCCTGTTTACTACATCAAACGGTCGTTTACTGAATTACAAAGTCCTTCAGTGTGAGCTAACATATATCTCATAAATTGAAAATGTAGAATGATTTAGCTTCCACTAAGACAAATATTTTAATGCCATATTTGAACGACTTATTGGGATATATTACCGAAAGGAACAACGTTCCCGTAAAAAAAGGTCTAATTTTCGTCGATCGTCAAGTAGTCGACTAGGAATAAAATAGTGTTGACAATTGAATACAAATCGATCAAAAACAGCTCGTATAGCTGTCAGTTATATCTACTCGTTTTCTTTCTTTTAGTATAAATACCTGATAGATATAATGATCTGCAAAGAAACTGCAAGAATTCTTCTGAATCCGTATGCTTGGTGATGTACTTATGTTGGTCATTATAATTCTAAGCGAAAAAACTTATTTTTTATTAGTACATTGAACAATATCTTTTACAATAATATTATCCATGCATGATTCCAGTAAGAAATAGACAACACGCAATGTTTTGCATTATTTCGACACCTGTCGTGTTCTAATTGTCTTACTCTACCATCTCAAAGGGTATCGTTGTCTTGAGAAGGTTCTTCCGACGATTATTGAATTCCCTAATTAGAAGTTCCAGCTGACAATTTTCCACTGATTGAAGTTTGGTTTTCTAAAACATCCTCACTCGGACGAGGCTAACCTCCTGACTTTATTTTCAGATTCACTTTTCTGATCCCAACCCTGATATAGTTAATCATTCTGCCAAAAATTCAAGGGGCTTCTTGTTCTTTCTCTCACTACACATATTTCATATGTCTGAAATGTAGTAATAATTAATTATTTTTTTTATTCCTACTAATAAATTCCAATACTAATAATTCAATTATATTTCTGTAAAATAATCAAAATAAATTTGGCAGTATAAAATTTACCTGTTAAAAATGAACCAGTATAGGGTGAAAATTACTAAAAACCTACATAATACTGAACTTCCACTGTGTGGTGACACACTTCAACGCGACACCACTCATTCAAATTTTATTTATATAGGTACTGAAATTTATGATGGAATACAAGTTTTTATTATATTAAAAAAAAATCGTAAAAACCTTTATAAAAACCCCCATGGATCATAAACTTTCTTGAAAATATCTTTTCTTTTTACCTAAACTTTGATATAAAATGTGTACGGAATTACATTTGATTCCCCCACTCTCCTAACACCAGTTGTTGCCCCTCCATACTTGTCTCCCACAATCTTCACATATTTGTAGCGTATTGTATATTTATAGAAATTTTAAATTTAGATTATAATGTAGTAATTTAATGTATGCGTATAAATAAATGTTATTATTATAAAGATCTACATACCAAATTAATATCAACTGCTGTTTCCCACTGATTCTCCATACAAACTCCAGCGTTATTAATAAGATACAATATATTTGAAATGGTTTTAAAGTAGTAACAAAAGCATCTAAAACAAACTATATTAAACAAGGAAAACTATGAAAATGAATGTTTAACTTTCTAGACTTTTTTTGATCGCGAACGTCGGTATTGAACAAATACCAACTTTTTCTACGCCAAATTCTTTGTTTAATTCTTCAGAAATTTTTTTCCGGCTTCTGCATTGATATCGGCTATGACAACACCCTAAAACAAATTAAGATGTTTAGATATTGTTTAACTTACAAATCACACAATAGTGGTACCAATTAAAAGGTTTTCTTTTTAAAAATTGTATGGATTCGACAGTTACTTGATGGAAATTCATTTATGTAACAATAAAACACTGAAAATTTTGTTTCACAACTTCCACAAAATTTATTTTAAATCTTATCACTACAGCTGTTTTCGGCTGATAGCCTTTCTCAAGTGATCTATTTTTTGGGCTTGGGTTTACAAATTTATAGTCCTCTAATGAAATAGTTGAGAGGGGAGAACTGTTTGTCTGAAGTTGCTCATTCAGAATTATATCTGTGTTTTTTAATTTGTTGATTTCCATAGATTCTAACAAAGATAGCTTAAGGCCTTTATTTTGGATGTGAATAATTTTAAATTTGTCATTAAAAGAATATATTAGATCTAGAAGGTGAAGTGCGTATGTCGAATCTGTTTTTCTATTCTTGAAAGCCCTTTTATGTTCTGCTATTCGTTTTATCAAAGTTTCTACCAGTTGACCGATGTAAGTTTTTTGGGCAGTCGCCACATGAAGTTTGTACACACCACTATTTAAGTGTTTTTATTTTGGCTCTTGTTATTTTTAATATATTTGCCTAGGTTGTTATTTTTGGAAAGCTGGTGTTATTATTCCTTTTCTTTTTTATGTGTGTTGGCAATTTTGTTGTTATTTTGCCTGTATATGTAATCGAGCAGAAGTACTGGGTTTTTTCTCTGGTGGTGGAAATACTAATTTCAGGGCTTTCTTGTGGAGTTTTTGATTTAACATTTTATTAATTGTTTGTTCGTTGTATCCGTTGTTTACTGCTATTTGCTTAATTATATTAATTCTGTCTCAAAGTTGTTCTTTTTGACATCGAAATTTCTGTTAATCTATGTAACATACTATGATAAGCTGCCAGTTTATGTTGTTTGGATGGATGATGAATGTGTATATCGTGTCAGTGTGGGTAGGTTGTGAAATATGGAGAATGCATGTTTGTTTTGAAGTCGCTAATTTTTAAATCTAAAAAATTTATGCATTGATCGTATATTAATTCACTTCATAGTCATATTGAATTTACAATAGAAACAAACAAAATCAACAGAGAACGTTATTTAACTTTTTGAGAAATAAACTTAAACCTGTCCCTGCTAACATGTATGTCAAATGCCAATAATCCAAATTTATCTAGTGAAAATATCTGTTTCACAAGATAAGCCCCCTCTCATATTACGCACGTGAAGTACGTCAATTTTTAAATCATTGCTTTCCCAGGAAGTGGATCGGAAGACAGGTTTTATAGAGTGGCCAGCAAGGTCACCAGATCTAAAACCTCTAGACTTTTTCCTGTGGGGTTACTTAAAATCAAAAGATTATGCAATAGACCCCAAACTTACAGTGTTAAAAGATAGAATTAGACATGAAATGAGCTAATTACTCCAGAAGTCATCCGCAATGTAGGTACTTGATGAATTGTTCTGTAGATTCGCATATTGTCAAGAAACCGATGGATGCATTTCGAACATTTAATTTAAAATAATTATTAGGCATAATTTGGTTACTATAAAGTACATTATTAAATAAATCATTAGTTGTAATTTAGTTGAATTTAAATTAAAAACAATTGTTTTTGTACCCTTAAAGAAATATTTTAGTTAACAATGTAATGTCGTTAAATAGAGAAAATAATTCTCGTTTAAATAATGTGTCGCATGATACCGATTTCAATTTAAAAAAAAATTAACGATTACGTCACATACATCTACACCATGACGTCATCCTACTCCGCAATTTCTCCCAAAACTCTACGATTTTCGAAAAAGTATAATATTCCATAATTTAGCCGTTCACTGCAGTTTGTATTTTAATTTATTTTTGACAGTTATATTGGCCAACATGAAAATTTTGTTAAATATTCTTTTTATTTAATAAGAAAAGAAATTGAATTCATTTATTATTCACAGATACTTGAAACATTTTAACAAGTATATGGAAAATTAAATTAAAAATAATATATTTGTTATGTTTTATAAATTAATTATAAAAAAAAACAATATAATTATAAATTTTACTCAGATTTTGAATTTCTGATGTTTTGTTTAAGATATACCATCTAGCTAATACAAACCATTTCTAAAAAGGTCCTTATGATTATTACCTTTATTACACAAAATTTTAATATTATCAAAATCCATAATGGTCTTTGTCGATTACATGATCTGCCAAAGCATAAGATTGTTTTTTTATTCTATAAAACCATTGTAACAAGTGTAAGTTAAAGATACTAACTTTCTTTGACTTTTTTGAATATTTGCAATTTGACTTTACTTGTACTTTATTTCCATATCCCAGATAGTCATCCTTCTTCCTTCCTTGATAGCCGGAGCCTTTTTATGTACCCTTACTGTATAGTAAATGTACCAATTATGTTACATAATTAAATAATAAAAAAAAAGATCATATACCCTGACTCCACATTGTAATAATTGTTTAACGAATGCTAGTCCAATTCCAGACGCACCACCAGTAACAATGGCCACTTTATTCTTGATTTCGAAAACCATTTCTACTAGATCACTGCTGCAACAATTTTATCACTGGTCACATTCAGAATGAGATAATGCGATAATTCAACTTTATCATGAGATATGAAGTCATGAGATAATGAGATAATGCAACTTTAACCTCTGCGTAAAAAAACGTATATTTGTTTTTGATTTTACTTGCATCAGACTTGAATATAAATCAAGTTTTGATAGTATTGATTAAGTGGTAATAATGTAATTAAGTATAAATCTGCAAATTACAAAAAAAATTAAAAATGTGAGGGCAATAAAATATTTATTTTTTTATTTACTGCGTTAAACAAACTTTAAACTGTTAAATAAGTCGTAATATCTTTCAGCACATTACATTTTATTTTCGTTTTCGAACATTTTACATTACAACATTAATACCATAGTGAATAACCTCAATTATTCGTGTCTGTCGGTTCATCTGTTCGTCCGTGAACACAGCTCCCCGTTATTAAAACAGATCGAATGAAATAGGATCAAGGGAGGTGATGATCTTGATTATGGTCATCCGGTGCATCCTACTAGATAATAAATGAAGCTCTGACGTCCGAGTGATTGCCGGTATAAGCAATCCCCCACTTACTGACCAACCGCTTAGGCGGATGAGTTGGTGAGTGGTAGGACATTCTTTTGTCCTAGTGTTGAGAAATCGGCCCCAAAGGCGGATGAATCAACAAATAAATGTCAACGGCATATGAATGCAGAAGGCAAAGAGGAACCACTGCATTAACGGCTCATAGAGAACCCGCAGAAAATCACCATAGAATTGGACACTGCAATTCCAAACCGTTTACTAATTATGGAAAGCGAAGGTCAAGATTCGACAGGAGAGAAAAAATATATTTATACCACTAGGCCTCTCGGCGAACTCGTGAAACCTCGTGAAGAAATCCTAAAAATAAAGAAATCTAATTTTAGAATGTGCACATGGAATGTTAAAGTCTATTTGCGGCTGGAAACCTGACAAAGCAATTCAAGAAATGAAAAGAATAAAAATAGACCTACTGTGAATCAGCTAAGTGAGATGTCCAGAGTCAGCATCATGTAAAAAGGACGGAAGTGTATTTATTATATTATTCCGGTAACAGCACAGAAGACCCGCATCACAAAAATGGTGATAGGTATATTAGTAACATCAGAACTTAAGTAAATATGTCACCAATTTCGTACCAGTCTCGAATATAATAATATTACTCCAAATAAATACTCCGACTGCAGATAGAAAATATAACGATGAAGTCGAGAAGTTGTATGATCAGATCCAAGACATCTTACTAAAACTTAATAAATACGAAATTTTATATATTATAGACGACTTCAATGCAAAAATTGGGCAAGGTCGACGAAGTCAGACTGTAGGGTATGGTCTAGAACAACCTAACGATCAAGGACAGATATTGTATGCATTTTGTAAAGAAAACGATATGATCATTGCAAACACCTAGTACAAACTTCTCAAGTGACGACTGTTTACTTGGAAAGCCCCTTTTGATGATGGCAATAACCCTGAGTCCTCAAGAAATCAAATAGACTATATACTTGTAAATTAAGTAGGGTGATGTCTCTATAATTATCACACACCATCATATCTCCTTTTTTTGTGAAGAGGGTGCATTACACCTAATTTTCAGTCTGCGGGCGTTTATTTACGTAGCCAGATTTCGGTTACTAGTTTATGCATGCGTTAAAAAAGGGTGTCACCACCATTTTTAAAGACGTTCGACAGGAAGATTATCCAAACCTGGGGCTTTGGACAATTTTCAGTTTTAAAATGGCTTCTCTAATTTTCTTCGTCGGTGGCCTCTTGGGCGTTTTCATTCATGAAACGATCATTAGTAATTTCCAAATTATCGATTTGAGTCATTAAAAAAATCCCAACAGCAACGCAAGTTGAAAAATAACCTTTTCCATAGACTGTAGCATCTATAAATTCCTTACAATTATCGAATATTTAAGGTATAAATTTTTTAGTACGTCTGTGGGCAATATATAAAATTTTGTGTGTCTTTGTATATATTTTACATTCCAATTTCAATCTTTTTTTCCCAAATTGGAGAACGATTTCCGAAGTGAAATTGAAACGTCAATAAACGTATTTTTATCTTTAATTGTGGCTTATTCCCAGTTAAAAAATAGTAATTATTTAAAATGCCACAAGAAAATCGCTTCAGAACAATAGTACTTTGCTTGCTGTAAATCACTTTGCTTAGTTGCACACTGACACCTACAAACAACCCCAATTTCACGACGTTTATTCTTTTCTGTAAAAACGATTTTTCCGTTTTAAAGTCTTTTGATTTTTCTGGGTTTCTAAGCCATTTCTTTCCTTTTGAAACAGAATGTAAATTCTCGGAATCCCCTTCAACAGGAACAAAGTTATAGGTTACAAACAATATCATAGGTTACATTTTCTGGTTCTACTACGTCTCCTTCATTCTTGCTGCTACATGAATCACTAACCATCGCAGATATACTATTGTGGGAAGTGCCTTTGTGAGGATCATAACTCACTTTGAGGTTACATCTTCACTTAACTTCCTTTTTTTTCTTAGAGTGCCGTCTCCCTACGGAGGTTGGCAATCATAATGGCTATTTTTATTTTTGAATTGTTACTCTAAACAAATTAATTGATCTGCATTGATACCAATCACGTAGATTTGTGGTGATTAGTTCTGTTTTTTACCAACCCTCTCCAGTACTTTATTTGTAATTCTATCAGTTTATGATATTTTTAATACTATGCGGTATAACCAAATCGAAAGCCTCGATTCTTTTAAATTGCATGTTTTTAATGTCCAACTCTCAGCTTCCATATAATAATATTGAAAATATAATACAGGGAATGGTACGTAGTCTGATCTTCACTGTAACTACTTGATTCTAAAATAAAAATGTACTTTACTAAACAAATAACCTTAAAATCATTATTTTTACTAACCTGTGCTTATTATTTAATATTGTATTTCTCATGTAAACTTCTTATTTATTTTTAATATAATATCATAAATAATATGAAAAATATTCTTACCAAAATCAGACATTTTTCTTTACGCTACTTTCGTATAATTCCAAAAAATTCACAGATCAAAGTAAAACTTATAATGATAGGAATCCCCATCTCAGTAGTAACAAGTTGTCAAATCCAATTACTTGGACACTTTTTGACACTTAGCAGCTTCTTGCACTGTAATTATGATTGGTTAAAATTTGAAGATATGGCATTTTACCCAGTAAAAAACTTTTTAGTAGAAATGTGACTTCGCTAGCTTATAGTACACATAATTTTATATAGATGACGCTACTTAACTCAATGCTAGAAAAATATGGACTTGTCTACTTTTTGCACTTAACTCGATTCTAAAAAAAATATGGACTTAGCTACTTTTTGCACTGCCCCTCCATGAGGCGTCTGACAAGCGGCTAATAAATGTATTGCTGTTGTAAAACCTTTAGAAAATTGACTGTAGGTACGACCTAATAGTGAAACATCTTTTTTCAATTTTTTTATATTGAATTTTTGTTTCAACATGTCGGGGCCCCTATAATATTTATTCGGCTGATGCTGTAATAAACTGATACCTGGCTTCACCATGTTCTTCAACTATCAAAGTGTTATTACTCCTGTCGATATATAATATAGAATAATTGTGATCACCTTCATATTTATGTAAGATACTAGAAGAAGAATAGATCAGAAATTTACGCTTTCAAAGCTCAACTGAACACCAAATCCGTAAAGACGTCCTCCTGAACAACGCAATCAATATGTGCATTTTGCCAATAGAAAGAGACGACGGAGAAGAGACGACAGCAACGTCAAGTGCGTCGAGAGGTCAGGCGCCGTATTTTTACAGGGCGTCGACACACGATACCGGGAAAACAGCCGGTCGTTGATTGTTTTTCATGCGAAAATTCTCGCTTCTCGACTCACCATCGAATTGACGTCGCAACAGTGTTACCATGAGTGTCAAGGTAAGATACTAGATGCTATAATTTTATTTGCAAATAGCTATTATTACTACGTCAAAGAAAAATTAGGCCCGTCCAGAAGGCGAGTTTTAAATTAATATTAAACCGTGTCTCTGCAGTTTTTATTACCAAATGAAATATTATAGTCATCACAGGAAATAAGTTTTGAGAACATTATATTTGTAAAATTACATTCATTGATATTAGATGATTGTTTCAATTTTCAAAAGAAATGATTTGTTTATGTCAACAGTCAATTTGGCATATGACAACCTAAATAAAGTATATTTATTTTCGAATACAATGTTATTATATTATATTTTTATTTATTTATTGCAATTTACAATCTACTCAATAAAAACAGAACATAATTAATAAATATGAAGTAAAATTTCTTGTATGTATATATAATAAATAGGAAAAGGCTTGATTCAGGTACAATCCATCACTCGTTCATTATAAATCTATTATCCTTTTGAGCATTTTTGATTAGAAAACTTTAGGGATCTTTGTGTTTGCTACACTCCCATATTTTTATGCTATATATGTCCAGATTGGTGTCAAATATTTTTAATATTACACTTCTGTTTTAATAGGAAAGAGCATTTCTCTAGGATAGTCTTGTAGTAGGAAGTTTATCAGTGTCTCTTACTGGATCGGCACCTCAGGAGCGAATGTTATAAACAAAAGAATGGTCCAAGCATATTGTTCTATCGTAATAGGATAATGCATCATCCACTTTGACTAAAATGAGCTATACTTCATTTGATAAATGCCGTACCAGACGTTTTTAAAAGGTTTCATTATATTTGATGATTCTTTTTTTTATCAACCCGACTTTTATCACAATATATCTATATAATCTTAACTTAAATGTTTAGTTAGATAATAGACAATAAGAAATAGGACTGCCAATTCAAGTATTATGAAATACAGAGAGGCATCCTTTTTTAAACTTAGTCTTCAATATTGACTTTATTTGGCAAATATTTATATTTATTTAGTATTAATTAATTAACTCTAAATTTAATCGGTTTTAAACTTCGAACTGC